TGGCACATGCCAACGCTAGCATCCAAAGAAGCAAACGAACCGGGTAAAAGTCCAACAACTCTTTCCTCTCTCCAACAGGGTACCCCACTCAAATACAAAACAAACTGGCTTATTTTGGAGAAAAAGCCCCAAATGGAGAGGAAATAAAGTTTCCAGCTGTACACACCGGAGTGACTTACCCTACTGTATGGAACCCGTCGGCTCCCAAATGTCAATTCCTGTTCCAATTGCCTAGCACTGGGGCAGCCAGTGCCACTTTGGGGAATTTTGAAGGGCAGATTCTCTGGACAAGTGGTCTCCAGCAGCTGCTAGGGCCTTACCGGAAAATTCCCCAACCCAAAATTTGTTACCGAGTCCAAGCTTGTACTGCACGACAGGCCAATAAATCTAGAGATGAGCTGCTGGGGGAAGGAATAGTGACTTTACCCAGAAAGCCAGCAAACTGAGAAGATGGTGGATTCGTCTCCCAGAGAACCATCTTGCCTAATGAATGCCTTAGCATTCAGGGTCTTTTATACTAAAGGGGAGGGAGTAAAGCCAAGCATTTCCTGGTTCCGGTCAGCCTGGGGTGGGGGGTGGGGGGTGCGGGGATGCAGCCATTCACAGGTGAGCCTCGTCAGGATGTTTGCTGTGAGCTAAACAAAAGTATTTTAGCTTAATGCTCCTTACCTGGGCGCCAGGGTTCCCAGAGATGGGCCATTATGTATAATTTAAGCTTATAGGCAACATCCCTTTACTGATTAACTTGTGATAGAATATAAAGGTTCTTCCTTATTACAGGCCCAGCCTAACCCCAACCTAACCCTCATCACATCTCTGCCTCAGTCCCGTGTCCACCCTACATGCGCCTGGCACATGTCAGGAGCCCAGGAGTGTGGCTGTCACCAGGAATGAATTTGGAAATCCCAGGATGAGCAGCAGATATGGCACTCCCGGGGACATTTTCTGACGGCTGGGACCCAGCCTCTTGAGCTTACTTTACAAATTGTGTTTGATACTTTACAACCTCTGAAACTCAGGTTTCTGTTCCATCCAGGAGCACTGTAGAAACACCAAGGGCCAGAGACTGAGCACAACACACACGTGCACACACTACACAAGGGAGCAGCCGTCGTGCTGCCCACCCGTCCATCTGTGAACTGGCCTGGTGTGGCTCAGTCCCAGGCTGGGTGCTGCCCCGAAGGGCTGTGGCTCCAGGCATGCCGGGGCTGGCTCACACCAGCTCTCAGGAGCTGCACATCTCCTCCCAACCCCACATTCCCAGACATTCCACTGGTTAGTCTGAACTTGGCCACAGTGGGAGTATTTACACCATGGTCATCAGCAAATGCTATAAATTAGGTCCTGCTCCTCCCTCCAAAAGCCAGTTGTTCTACATTATTGGCACCCCACCGCCTGCCTCCCAGCAGCTGGTGGTCTGGGGTGGGGGATTCCTCTAAAGTGTGGTCCATGGACCAGCAGCATCCATTGGCATCACTTAGGAGCTTGTCAGAAATGCAGAATCCTGCCCTCCCCCACAGTTCTCCAAATCAGAATCTCTAGGGGCGGGGCCAGCAGTCTGTAGTTTACCAAGAAGCTTCGGTGGGCAAAGTCTGAGATGCAATGACCTAAGCACCAGAGAGGAGCAGAAGGGGCTTTGAGGAAAAGTGTCATTGTCCCACTGCCTAGTCAGGTGTCTTCTGACTGCCCCTCTTTATGGGTTAAATATCATACAGAGAAAATTTAGGGGAAAAAAAGTCCACATTTCCATGAGCCACATCAGTGTTCTCATTCTTCCACGTTTCTTCCATGATTTGAGCACATTTATGTAAAAGTCAACAGCAGGTGCACTCATTTTCCACATGTTGGTATACAACACATTTGCATCCCAATTTCTTCCTGAACGACCACGGCCTTAGACTTTGACTTGGTCTCCAAGGCCTGCTGACTATCAAGCACAGATTTTGTGCAGTTCCTTCAGCTGCCTTTCCTTTGTTCTAGCGTCGGGTGCTGGCACCTGGAATGTAATCTTCAGAATTAACATTCCTGGTGCCGCCTGGCCCACAGAGCAGGAAGGAAGCCTCATGGGAAGGAGCACGGACCCCTAATCCTTTTTATTCTGGGAAGTATTTTGGCGCAGCCTGGCTCTGCGGTTTATAAACAAGCTCTTTGCTGGCTGGCGGGGGGCTGGGTGGTGGAAGCCAGGGCTCTGTGTAGAGGGAAGTTAGACGCCCCTCTGGAGCCTTTCATGATGCGGTTGGTTACCTGTCAGGTACAGAACGGGAGTGTAAACAGAAATCACTTAATGTAGGTGACACTGTTGGGCAGTGAAAGGCTTCGGAAAACCACCAGCACCCCTGCCTCACGAACTCTGCGGCTTTTCATAACAGACATGGCTTCTTCATGCAACAAATATTCATTGGGTGCCTCCTCTGACCGCACCACTTCACAGAGACGGGGCTAGTGGGCGACAGAAACTCTAGAACAAAGTGCAGGCCTTCTGCCCAGGTGCTGGAAGTGCCCCAGGCTAACAGTGGCATCCCAGGTGGAGGAATAGCTTGGGCAAAGTGTGGAGGTAGAGAGTGGTCACTCACTAATGGACAGTTGTTCAGAACAGCTGGCAGGGAGGGGGGCTGCGTGAAGATCAGTGACAGGAAATGAGGTGGAAACAGGGGCAGGTGTTAGGTGGTCAAGTCCTTACCAAGCCAGGATAAGCTGTTTGGTCTTTGTTCTGTAGACACTTATGACCGAGAGGACGCCACCCACCTAACCTACATCTGTCCATCCTGGACCCATCCATCCCATCCATCTGTCCATCCATGGACCCATGGAGTCCGTCCCTCCACCCACCCACCAATCCATCCTCTCCCCAGTGTCCATTTGCTGGTCAACCATCATCCATCCATCTACCTTTCCACCTATCAGCTTAAGTATACTCTGTACCAGGCACAAGATTTCTTCTTTCTTTTCCTGGGTCTTGAAGGTCTTGCCGTTTCCCTAGCAATTTATATATACAGTTGACCCTTGAACAACACTGGGTTTGAACTGCATGGGTCCACTTATACTCAGACTTTTTTCAGTAGTAAGTACTACAATACTATATAATCCCCAGTGGGCTGAACCGCAGATATGGAGGAACTGTGGATACGGAGCGCCAACTGTTAGTCATATGCGGATTTTCAGGGATTTTCAACAGCGTGCAGGATGGACGCCCTTCACCTCCATGTTGTTCGAGCGTCAATTATATTCCACCTCAGAACTACCCCACCTTAACAGTGTCCACCTGCAGACTACTCAGGTAATGCTGTTGTTAGAAATAAGGAATTAAATAGTCACGTGACAGCAAGGCTCACCTGGCCTCATGTTTGGGAAATGTGTAGCAGGATAACGGTATCGTGGGTAGGTGTGCTGAATGCCGAATGATGTGGAAATCTCATCCTGACAAATAATTCTTCTGAAAGTCAGTTATGAAGCTGTTGGAGCATATGGGAATACACGTACTTCACATACTTATGAGATATATATATATATATATGCCTTTCAAATTAAAAAAAGGAGTTAGAGGATTAAGAATGCACTATTTTTTTAAAAAACTGTACATTAATCTTCTGTCAAGTTTTTTTTTTGAGCTGGGAGGGGTGGGTGAGAGTGAGGGAGTAGTGTTTTATGTTGGTCTTCTTGAACAGGTTAAACCTAGTAAATACTTTGGTCTAACATCTTTCATTGTCCTCTATGGTGAAAAAAACCACTCACGCTGAGTACAGAAGACACCACAACACACACACACACACACACACACACACACACACACACACACACACA